AATAGTGACTCAATTAATTGCATCAAATAATTGCGTCAATTGCGTCAAGGATCTACGAATTTCAGCAACATGTATATTTGAAACATATGAAACTAAAATGTAAATAAGCAACAAGATATGCCAGTTCAGTTAAATATGCCTGATATTCTTGATTATATCGCTTAGGTCATTCAGACTGTTCTGTCTGATCAGGTCAATTAGGTCGGTCAGGTCGATCAGGCTGATCAGTCATATCTGACCAAAATGTCATATCTATTCGCTATGCTATATATGCTAAATAACTAATAATAGAAATAATATAATAATATAATACTATAAAATAATAATTTAAAAATAGTACTATTAATACTTATAACAATACAAATGCATCATCAAAAATGAAAAATTCTTCTTCTTGCAAATAATACACCAACATATATTTATAATGATTTGGATATATTTACAAATATAATGATATATTTTTTACTGCCAAATACATTACATCTTCAACCACTTAATATAGGTATTATTCATTTCTTTAAGGTATGTATATGTTTATAAATAATTTAAAATTTTATAAATAATTTAATAATATATTTTATAAATTAAGGCTCAATATAGAAAGCAATTGGTTAAAAACCATATTGAAGCATATGATCTTATCCAGGAACTTGAAACCAATACAACTCCTCTTAATATTCTTGATGCAATTTTGTTTACGGCCAATGCATGAAATAATGTTACTCTACAAACTATTTACAATTGTTAGTATAAAACTGGAATTTTGTCAAAACCACAAGAAGAAATAATTTTGGCAAATACTTGTCTTCAATTTGAAACTCAAAAAGTATATTGTAATATGCAAAAATTAATTGATCAACTTGAGTTTACAAATGCTATAACTGCTGAGGAATTTGTAACTTTAGATGATAATATACCTATTGAAGTATTAACTGATGAAGATATTATTCAAGCCATTCAAGATACATCTGAAAAAAATGAAAAAGACATCATCAGGAAATTTTTTAGCAAAGATCTCTGAAGATCTTTAGGTGTAGACCTCCGGAGGACCTCTGTCGTCGTTAAAAGACTCTGGAGCGAAGGTTACTATATTAAATTCTGGAGATCTTCGATTTATTTTAATAATAATAAAATATATTTATATTCACATATTATAATCTATTAATATTCAATTTTT